GCAACCTATTAAATGTTGACTCTGTTTTGTAATTTGTATCTTACTCTCCTAGATTCCATATCCTGCCACCACGACACATTATCCTTCTCATCCCCACTAGATCATGGAGAAATGCTTGCCAAAAAATAAATGCCAACTAGTTTTTGATGGGTGCATATTACATAGTAGAAGTAGATATTGTAAAGTCTCTCTTCTTGAGAGAACTTGCTATATAGCTTGAGATAAAATTATTCCCCATCTGTATAAAAGCAATATAGACAATACAAGGAAGTGTGCTATGAATTACAGAAAGTGTGCTATAGAAATTCAGAGACAGGAGGAAAAGTTAGAATGGGTTTGGGACTTGAATTAGTTTATTTTTAAAAGGGCAAGTTTTGAGAAATTTGTTTATTCTTGATGTACATTTATCCTGGTGTTTTACTTGTTCTGAGCTCGAAAACAATCTTACCTTTTGTGTTTCATGTTTCACCTAAGTCACAAATAAAGGTGATCTTCTAAAAAATAAAAGTATATCACCAAAACAAAATATTCGAAAGTTTTTCAGTGACAAAAGCTTAGTTCCTTAGAATTAGTGAGTTGAATTTCTGTTGTACTAAGTGCACATGACCATCCCGAGGGGTACATATTAAGGGAAGAAAATATTTTTCAAATGAGTATTAGTGATTTTCATCACCTTATGAGTAAACTAAATAGAACTTACACGGCATCATTTTTTCCTGCCCAAACTTCTCAGAATAGAAGCTTCTTGTTAGGTAAGTTTCCGTTACCACTCAAATTCTAGAATATGAAAATAGTCCAGAGACCATTTAATTTTGTGGGTGATTTCCATAGGTAAAGGGTTTTTGAGTATAATCTTGAGTAATCTTTATTTTTAAGTCCACTATTATTACTATTATACCCTATATAAAAACACATTCCCTATTGTTTTTGGAGATCCAACTCCAGTAGTCTGTTCATAAATTAAGTTGCACATTCAGTAGTGGAGTAAACACTAGATTTTGTCTTGTTGCTTCTTAATTAACTAGACAATTTCTTTTAGACATTATTTTTTGTCTATAACATGGAAAAGTTGGATCATGTTAAATTTTTCCCAACTGAAAGTTTTCATTTTTTGAAGTTGTGTGATTCTTTTATGTCTCTTCCCTACCAATAAGTGTTTACTCTAAAACTCTAAACTTTCTTAGTAAAATTTTAAAAAAAGAAGGCTACAGTACTATAGATTTTGTACTGAAAGCACTAGTGTTTTTTCCAGGACATAGAAGCGGTCAGTGGATGAAGTGGCTGTAATATCAATACAGTAACACTGAAGAACTTACTGGTAGATTTCAATGTACTGTCTGGAATCTGGAGCCTTGGACTAAATCATCTCTAAGATTCCTTCTGACTTTGCTCAACATATTGTTAAACAAATATTAAGTAAACGATGAGAAATAACATATTTTTGCCAGTAATTTAAAGGTAATATTTATGTAAGGTGCTGGACTCTTAAGCCCCTCCTAACCATTGTTAAAGACCAGCTAAGAGTTGCTGAAGGAGAATTTTTTTTTTTAAGATTTTATTTATTTTCAGAGAGGGGGAAGGGAGAGAGAGAAACATCAATGTATGGTTGCCTCTCACACGCCCCTTACTGGATACTTGGCCCGCAACCCAAGCCTGTGCCCTGACTGGAAATCAAACTGGTGACCCTTTGGTTCGCAGGCTAGCACTCAATCTACTGAGCCACACCAGCCAGGACTGAAGGAGAATATTTTAATTTGTTGTGTTTACACTTTCCCAGTGCTTGAATATTTTTTTTGTTCTTTGAAAAAGATGCAATATTTTTTCTCTGTAACAACATTTATGCTATCTCATTTTGGGAACATGAAAGGCATGTACAAGCCCTAGCTGGTGTGGTTCAGTGCATTGAGTGCCGGCCTGCAAATTGAATCCCAGTCAGGGCATATGCCTGGGTTGCATGCAGGCGAGGTACCCCCGTAGGGGGACCCATGAGAGGCAACCACATGTTGATGTTTCTCTCCCTCCCTTCCCCTCTCTGTAAATAAATAAATAAAATCTTAAAAAAAGGCATGTACAATTGTTTACACATAATATTAGACAAATGATGCTATCCCTATTCAAGGAAAGATTTTTGGTTTTAGCATCTTCCATTTCTGGAAATTACAATTGCTTCATACTCTATTCATCAGAAGCTGTGAACAAAGCGCCCAAAAAGAACAAATCCTGAAAATATGTCTATGTTAAGGAGAAGCTTCAGGCTTAATTAAACTAACCTTGTTAAATTGTCTGAAAGACAAATAATGCATATTTTTCAGTTTGTCATAAATTCTTCTACGGATGAAATTGCCTCCTAGTAATATCTCTGTGCCCATGAATAACATCTAGAAACCTCAAAGCTTTTTTTATATACTGTCTGATGTCCTTTTAAAGTGGGGAGAGGGATTTCATGGGAAACAGAATAGCTATTATTCCACTGTTAATGGGTTTGTCAGAGCTAGAAATAGCCTGGTTTTCCTTCTAGTGCAATTTTCTGAATGTTTGTCCCTTGGTACCTACCACTTGGTCTGCCTACAGACATACACAGGTACATAGAGTATTTCCTTATGACCTTGCTTTCCAGTTCCAATTTCAGCCTATGTGAGTATATATTTTTAGCCATTTATTCTCCTTTCATCCCACCTAGTGGTTTTGTAATGTAGTATGTACCACATCGGTACCAAGGGGCTGTATGTTTTATTAGAAGTTGTGTAAAAGTCTGGTATGATGGTCAGTATAGTTTGGTTTCACCCTTTGCCAACTTCCCAAGGGACAAACACACTAGCAGCATTGGTGTATTTTTCCATTTCCTTATTGATTAGTGTGTAAATTGGACATTTTGGATGAGTAGCAGAATTCAGCCTCACCACCATATAGGATTTACCTGGTGCAGGCTATGATATGACCCACACTAATGCTTCTTATGAGATTCTTCAATCTGTTAGTTCACAGGATAGGAGATACAGTATTGTCTAGTAGCTGCTCTTTGGTTTTGTCTTCTAAGTTGCGGTATGTCTGTACCTACTGGATAACCTTGGAGTAACTGGATAACTCATAGATGACCACTCTGTCAAGTGACTTTAAAACCATAGTTTTTAATAGTACTTTATAGTCACTCTATTCTGAGGTATTATCCCCATTTTACAGATGAGGAAACTTGCCTAGATAGGTTAAAGAAACTTATTGAAACTCATATAGTCTCGTAACTTGCCAAAGCAAAAGTTCAGGTCCAGATTGGCTCTTATGCTCTGTTGTCAATAACTGTGGCAACTGAGAAATCCAAACATTATGACAATCCCTGCCAAATCCTTGATCTTTTTCCTCTTTGGCTTTTTGTGATATAAAAAGCGGTCCATTTAACTTAAAAATAATTAAGTAATATAATTATGTAGTTCAAAATTCAAAGGGTACAAAAAGATATCAAGAGTTTTTCCCACTCTTGTCCCTTGCCATCCAGTTCTCCTACCTGAAGACATTCACTTACTACTTGCCTGTATGTTTTCCCAGAGGTATTTTATGCATATATAAGCAAACACATACACATATCCCCCCTTTTTACTCAAATGTAAGCATACTATAAACATTGTTCTGCATTTTGTTATGGCAGTAAATATATTTTAGGATTGTTCAGTAGCAGTCCATAGAGAACTTGGTCCTCTTTGGGACGGCTTCAGTTTTCCTTTGAATGGATATATCACATTCATAGATATTTCCATTGTTTTCAGTATTTTGTTATTATAAGCAACATTGCAGTGAATATATATGCACATACATACTTAAGGATATGTAACATTGAGGATAACATTCATACACATTCAATTGCTGTGCTAAAGAGAATGTGCATTTATGATTTTGATTGCTTTTCGCAGAGGTTGTACCAATTTACGTTCCTAGTAGCAATGTATTGAGAATGCTTATGTTCCCTCAATCTCAACAAAACAAGTGTGTTCTCAAACTTGTGGATGTTTACCAATGTGGTAGGTCAACAATGTCACTTTAGTGTGCTTTTTAAAAATAAACTTTATTTTTTAGAACAGTTTTGAGTTTACAGAAAAGTTGCACAGTACAGAGTTCCATATATCTTCACTCAGTTTCCCTTAGTGTTAACATCTTAACATTACTGTCACAGCTCATGAATCTTATCATTAAGTAAAGTAAAAGTTTATTCATATTGCCTTAGTTTTTACTAGGGCCATTTTTTCTGTTCCAGGATGCCATCCAGGTTACCACATTATATTTAGTCATTACCACGTCTCTTTTGGTTCCTTTGCCTGTGACAGTTTCTTAGACTTTCCCATGTTTTTGATGAGCTTGATAGGTCAGGTGTTTTTTAGTCAATGTACTTTGAAATTTCCATGTCACTTGTGAGATTAAACAACTTTCTTTTCGTACATTATTTCCCTTTCTGGGAAGTAAGAGCTCATGCTCTTAAGCACTATGCTAAATCCCTCTTTTGATTCACTATAATTAAAATGTTCACGGGCCTGAATATATATGGAATTCTGAATGTGAGGAAGTAAACGTCTTGTAAACCTCTGTTACAAGAGGAGCACCATTATTACAAGTGATGTCGTCAAACTTGTTTCTGAGCATTCTGGCTGCATTGGTGGATTGACCAGAGGCTCCGCTGGAAACAGCAGGTAGGCCGGATAATATGTCCTTGGAGGCAGAAGCATGGCTAACCAGGATACATTTGAGAGAAACTGGAGGCGCCAGGATTTGGTGATACCGAATCAAAGAGTCAGGAAGTCAAAGGTGATTCCTCGGTTTATGAGCTGAATATTTTGGGCGTTGCCTTTAACTTCTAAAAGAAATTCAAGAGAAATACTTGAACGATTTACAAGATACCGGGTTACTCAATAGGTACTTTTCCTTTCCCTTTCTTTAGTTCTGCGTTACTACAATTCCCAGAGCTCCGCACTCCACCACAATCTCCTTCGAGTCGGCCGCGCAGAGTTCTGGGACTTGAAGTCCGCGGTCTATTTACCCAAGTTAGAGATAAGGGCCTGTGGAAACATGAAGAGGTAAGGTCTCGTCTGAGAGCAGGCGACGACGGGAGCTCTGTTTTACCTTTTAACTTAAAATGGCTTTTATTGTTTTGTGTTTGGGGTATGTCACATTCTCGGGGTGCGGTTTCGTGGGGGGAGAGAAGACAAAAGAGGATGAAGGGGAGACAGGCTAGGCGGGCCTGCAGGGCGAAGTTGAGGGAGGGCCGCCGCGGCTGCGGGTTCCCATAGGAATGCCCGTCCAGCCCAGGTATCTAAGCCACGGCGCGGGCGCCGGGAGCCGGACGGACGCTGTGGCTTTTTCCTATTGCACATGGAACCCCTCAGGTAAAGGTTCTTGGCCGCCTGATGTCTAGCGCCTGAGAAACCCAGGCCAGCTCCAACCCTGTACCTCCACCCTATTCTCACAAAGGGGACCAGGGTGGGCCCTTTATTTGTAGTATTTGTGTATGAAAGAAGAGTTGCTAGGGCCCCGCGGGCAAGTAGCGTTTTCAAATCTTAAAGTAAGTCATACTTTGTTTCTGCAAATTTAGAAGGGAAGTACAAAACCGGTTCAGGGTCAGGAAAAGGAAGGCATTGCTATGAGCAGTTCCCCCTACTGGTTTTCCAGGAAATGGCAGCTTTAACTTGGCGGGTCATTGTTAAAAGCCTGAGCTTTTCAATTAGCACACAAGCCTTTTTAAAGGATCCTCATTAAATGAGTTTTGTATTCATTCTTAAAGGAAGATAATTGCTCTGACATAGGGCGGTGTATTTAAAATTCTTACTGTTACTGTGCTCTCCTACAGTGTCATTTTCTTCATCTTTTAAAAAACTGGTTCTGATTTACCCTGCCTCAAAATGACTTTTTAAAAAATATTTCTTATCATATATCTCATACATGCAAAATAATGTATATATAAACTTTAAAGAAGAATACTAGACTCATACCCACTGCAAGCTTTAGAGCTGGAATAGTACCAGTACCTTAGAAGTCCCTTGTGTGCCCCATGCCATTGCTTCTCTCTCCGTCCTGAGGGGACCACTATCCAGAATTTTGTGCTGACCATTCTTTTGCTTTAAAAAAAGTAGTATTACCACCGAGGAATTTATCCCTAAACAAAATGTTGCTCCTTTTATCCATATTTAACTTTATATCAATCGACACATATTGTATACGTTTTTCTGTGACTTGCTCTTTTTTACTCAACATTTCTTTTTGGGATGCATGTGTACTGATATATTTAGCTATGATTTATTCATTTCAAAGCCACTTTAAACTGAGTAAGAACTTTGTGAATTCTAAGTAACAAATAAAAATTAAGATATTTAAAAGGAATTTTTTAAAAACCCTGGGCCTAAGTATATTTTAACATATCCCAAAATAGGTATGTCTTTCTAGAGCATGACATTTTTCTTTTAAAGATTGTAAGGGAGAGAAACATCAATGTGCAGTTGCCTCTCCTGCGCCCCCTACTGGAGGCCTGGCCTGCAACCCAGGCATGTGACCTGACTGGGAATCCTAACCGGGACCCTTTGGTTCGCAGGCCAGTGCTCAAACCTCTTCCCTCCCCTCCCCTCTCTGCCACTCCCCTCTCTGCCAGGCACATGGACACAACAGCCAGGGCTGAAAATCTTGCTTATAATCATGAGGCATACTGTCCCTAGGCCCCAGTAATAAAGGGTTATTTTATAAGGAAAGTATGTTAATATTTATTTTCCTCATGGAGTTAGCTCAATCTTTTTGTCTTTTATAATCTGTTGCCTATTTAAATGGTTCTTTTATTTCATTATACTCTAATAAGTGTTTTCAGTTGTTTACAGTGAGTTGGCTCATGTTAGCATTACCTAGATTTCTACACTGCAGTACCTAGTCTATAAAATGTTAAGACCCTTTCACATTTGTTTTGACACTTTTTCCTTTGGAGATCTCCTCTTTCACAGCTCTAGATCCTGACACTACTAATGACTTGGTATTTCCACGTTCAGCCTGAGACTTATCTGTGCAACAATTCTCTCATATCTCACTTTCCTTTTAGCCAATATCACTTATACTGTCACCTCGGACTCAATATGTTTTTTAATATTTCCTGGAACTTCATGATGGTGTTTCAATTGTAATAGGTAGCTCTCTCAACATGGCTAAAACAATACTGATGTTCCCTTTCCAAACCATTTATTTCATGTGGAGCTCCCTCTTTCTTTCATTGCTACCATAGTTCTCTCAGTTTCACAGCTTGAAATCTTGGACTTATCTTTTACTTCTCTTTGACCCCTACCTTCAAAAGGCCTCTCTCATCTATCTCTTCATTTATGACCACTATTAGCACTTCAGTTTGGACTTTCATCACCTTATCCTTGATAAATTGAATAGTTTTCTAGTTAGTTTTTCTGATTTCTTTCCTACTAATCCATAAGGCATGTTATGACCACATTCTTTTTCCTAAACCATCACTTGTACCATGTCGCTTAACTACCTAATAAATTACTTTCTAATACCTATAAATTAAGGCCCAGACCCTTTAGTTGGAGTATTTAAGGTCATTCACAATCTGAATCTAATTACTCCTCCAATGCCAGCTAAATTGCACTTGGCATTATCCCCCAGAACATCTCCTCATACTTGTTCTCTGTCTTCTTTCCTTCATTTACCCTCCTAGCACCTAATTATATCTTTCTTCTGTGAACTCCTGTTAATTTGGCATATACTTCTTTGTATTGTCATTCTTCACCCTTCCTGTCCTCTTCCCTCCCCTCCCCTCCCCTCCCTTCTCCTTTCTCCTACTCTCCTCTCTTCCAGGCACACGGACACAACACATACACACATATATGGTCCCTCCCCATAAATAAGTTGGGAACTCCTTGAGGATAGTGCGTATGTCTTGAAAATACTTTCGAGTCCATTGGTACCTTACAATGTGCTATGTGTAAGTAGGTATTTAATAAATGTTTGCAGAATGAATAATAAAGGGCAATGAATTGTTAGAGAAGGGTCTTTGAACAAATGAGATCACTAAAAGTAGATAATATAGGTAAAGAATATATTTTGAGATTTCACTATCTCTTCTACTTTCTGTATCTATCCCTGCATCTATCTACTTCAGGGTAAACAGCTGTGTGAAGAGTGATGAGCATGTCCTGGAAGAGTTGGAAACAGAAGGGGAGAGGCAGCTGAAAAGCCTCCTTCAGCATCAACTTGACACCTCTGTCTCCATTGAGGAGTACGTATTGATTTTGCAAACAAGTGGAATGTCACAGACTCTCACCTCCAGGTGATATCTTCTAAAACCTGGGTGGACCACTCCTCCCCTACCCCCCTTTCTTTGGCGAACATCTACATATTAGGCAGGGTTTTGCTTCTGTGCCTCTTCCTCTACAAATCCTCCCAAATTCCACTAAGTACCTTTCCTGTGTCTTCCTCTAACACACATAGCACTTACAACCCAATATTATCATTGTTTGTTTACTTGCTTCTCCCTCTACTGTTTTTCCACAGAAGCAGAAACCATTTTTTAATCTTTTTTCACTCTTAAATCCTCAGTACCCAGCACAGTGTCTGATGTATAGTAGGTACCCAATAAATAAATATTTGACTCAGTTATTTATTAGTCCTGGATGAGGGGACTATTGGTGGAATTCCATATTGTTGCAATGGTACTTCAGTCTAGAAACAGGGCATGAGAACAAGTTGCCTGTGAGTTTCATCATGCCTCTTTAAATGGTGAGCCCCATTTCTGTGAATTGTGGTAACCTGAAGATGTTCTTACTCTTTTCCTTCTTGGTTTGCAGATGTGTATCTAAGAAGGAGAGCTTTGCTCCTGGTACTATGTACAAGCCCTTTGGGAAGGAAGCAGCTGGGACTATGACTTTGTCCCAGTTCCAAACTCTACATGAGAAGGACCAGGAAACTGCTTCTCTCAGGGAACTAGGGCTCAATGAAACAGAAATCTTGATATGGAAGAGCCATGTTTCAGGTGAAAAGGTGAGTGGAGCAATTTTGTTTTGGACAATAAAGAGTAATATCTCTGCATTTGGCACTGAAAACCTTTTTATTTTTAGTTATCTCATATCTGAGTTTTATGTCTGAATCTTCTTTAGTTTCTAGGACAGGGACCTAGGGAAAAGAGAAGCTATTCCTTGACTTATTAGCTACCACATTGATAAATGCTCATTTCTGGGCTATGATCATCTTTCTTGAGGCATCAGACCATCCCTTTCAGGGTGTGTCCTCTATGATGTATGCCCTCTCCTTTCTCTGGTTTCAGAGGACGAGACTGAGGGCAACCCCTGAAGCAATACAGAACTGTCTTCAAGATATTGAAGAAAGGATCTCAGAGCGTCAGCGCATCCTTTGCCTGCCACAGAGATTTGCAAAGAGCAAACAGCTGACCCGGCGAGAAATGGAAATAGAAAAGTCTTTATTTCAGGGAGCTGATCGTCACTCCTTCCTTAGGGCCCTTTATTACCAAGGTATGTGATCTCCACTAACTTTGATATGTTCTTTCACTGAGAGAGAGATTCACCCTCAGGGCATTATATATGAAGAGTTAGCGAAGGGGGTAGAAGAAAGACAACCTATCACTACTCTTGAAAAATGTGTAGTCATGTATTTAATTGCTGCCTGTAGACATGTGAATAAAATACTGAGGGAGCACAGAACATAGAACATCTAAGTCTAGCTGGAGGAGTCAGGAATTGACAATTGTACTAAGTCTTGATGGATTAATGGGCATTTGTCAGGTTAACAAGGGAAAGAGGGAATTACCAGTAACAGGTGAATAGGAACAGGCTTGTAAAAGGACCTGGTATGTCTGGAGAACAATGAAAAGTTCAGTGTGGCAGGCAGTATAAGGCTTGGTAGGGAATTACAGGAGATGACACTGGAAAGGTAAGTGAGACTAGACTGTAAAAGGTCTTTGCACTAAACTGTAAATTCACACAAAATATATAGAGTGATGGTCTTTGTCTTAACCAGAAAGTATGAGTTTAATAGATAAGCTTTGCTAGGCACTGGGGAAAGTGCACAGAAGTTTAAGAAATGGTTCCTGGCTTTGCACCAATTACAGTCTGATTTGAGAGAAACATGACATTTTAGTAACAATGCTAGGTACGGTTGTTAAGTGCTGTAGGAGTTCAGAGGAGGGAAAGGCTACTATGCATTGGCATGACTCAAGAAGGCCTCTCAGAGGAGGTAAGATTTAAATGTTCTTTTAATACTACCTATTGTTTAGGAAGCAGAGGGAAAAGCATTTCAGTTGCAGCAGATGTTGTCAGCACTATGGTGTATTCAGGGGTGTTGTGATAGACAAGGTAAATAAAATATTTTACCTTTCTTTGGTGAGCAGTATAGGCCTGTACAAAGTAATTCAGTTAGTTTGGATATGGTTAAAGGTTTTTAAGCCAGGAGTAACATGAGAAAAACAGTGTTTGAAAATGACTACTCTGGTGACCAAGAACTACAGGGTGGCGCAAAAGTAGGTTTACAGTTATTTTTATGGAAAATAATACAATAATTAATAAATAGTAATACAAGAATAAACTACGTGTTTCTCATACTCACAACTGTAAACCTACTTTTGCCCCACCCTGTATGATGAGAGAAAGGAAGAAATGGGAGCAGGGGAAATGATTTAGGAGGTAATACAGTCATTTAGGCATGAAGATATGGACTGGAATGATGGTAATGGAATTAGAAAGAGAAGTAGGTATGGTTGTAAGAGACATTACACAGGAAGAATTGGTAAAACTTGTTGCATGAGACCTAAAGGAGGGTCAGTGGAGAGGAATGTGTCAAAGGCAATCCAGATATTTCAAGGCTGTGTGACTTAATAGTTGTCAACATTAAGAAAGTTTTATGGGGAAATTTTGAGGAAAATGATGAGTTTGATTTTTGAACATGTTGAATTTTTGAGAATGGCAGGATCATTAAACGCAGATATTGAGGAGGCAGTTCGAAATGCAACAGTTGAAGCTCAGGAGAGAGGTCAGAACTAGATCTACAGAATTGGGAATCATCTATGCTTAGATGAGAGGTAAAGCCATGAGAATGAATGAATGATTTGTTAGAGACCATAGACCTGGAAGAGCAGTGGTGAAGGAAGGAAAAGAACAAATGAACAGGCTTTTGTAGAGAAACATAGCACACTGATTAAGACCATGGGTTCTGCAGGCAGACTCCTGGGAAATTTCTGGTTCCCCACTTACTAGCTATAAGATTTTGGGCAAGTTACCACTCTATGCTTCAGTTCTTCATTTGTAAAATGAGAATATATTAATAGTAGCTATATAGTAGAATTGTTAGGAGGGTTGAGGTAATACGTGTAAATCACTTAAGAGTAGTGCCTAGTATTTGGGGGGGGGTGGGTGGTGTATGAATCTGTTCTGTTTCCTATCTTTGAAACTCCTTGCTTTAAACCTTCACAGCATACCACAAAAAGACAAGTGCAGACAAGTACATGACCTCAATGAAGAGGAAGATAAAATTAGGCACAAAAGGCAAGTCGAGAGTTTTCTTACAGTGTTAGATTTAGGAATGTAACCTAGGGTCCCAGACTTCTAAGTTGAGTGCTATTTAATTCCATATCCAGTATATGACAATGTTTAATAGGAAATGATCCAGAGGGAGCATATTATCCTGATACAGAATATTAAAGAAAGGAGCTAGTAGAAGTTGTAAAACTTTTACATTTAGTGTTGTTGATTTTTTTCTTTATACCTTTAAGTTTATTGTACCAGGCATAAAACAGCCTTAATGTTTTTGAGATCCTATTTCACAAGTAATTTTGAATATTTTTATTAATCAGTAAAATAAAACTATTGATGATAATGATGATATAATAGCTAATATTTTCTTTTATTTTTGAAATGAACTTACAATAAAATTGCCTGATTTTTTTATGGTGTACAATTCTGTGAATTGTAAATCATGTAAGTTGTGTAAATTCATGTAATCACCACCACAGTCAGGATAGAGAACAGCTCCATCACCTTAAAACTTCCTCATACTGTCCATTGATAGTCACTCCCAACTGCACCCATAATCTCTGGCAATCACTGATCTGTTTTCCATCACTGTAGTTTTATCTTTTATACAATGTCATAGAAATGGAATCACATGATATGTAATATTTTGAGAGTGGCCTCTTTCATTCAGCATAATGCCTTTGAGATTCATCTAAGCTGTGTGTACCAAATAGTTCATTCGTTTTGCTAAGTAATGTTCCATTGTATGGATGTTCCAAAGTTTGTTTATCCATTCACACACTGATGTGTATTTGAGCTATTTTCAGGTTATAGTGATTATGAATAATACTGATATGAACATTCTTGTACAGGTTTTTGTGTGAACATAAAATTTTTATTTCTCTAAGGTAAATATCTAAGAGTGGGATTACTGGGTCATATGGTAAGTGTTTGTTTAACTTCATAAGAAACTGCTAAACCATTTTCCAGAGTGGCTGAACCATTTTACATTCCCACCAGCAATGTATGAGATTACCAGTTGCTCAACATCTTTGACAGCCATTTGGTATTGTTGGTATTTTAGTTATTCAATTAGCTGTGAAGTGGTATTTCATTGTAGTTTTAATTTGCATTTTCTTAGTGGCTAATGATGTTGAACATCTTTTTATATGCTATTTGCCATCCTTATATCCTGTTTGCTAAAGTGTCCAAGTCTTTTACTCTTTTTTAATTGGGTTGTTTATTTTCTTCCTGATGACTTTCGAGAGTTCTTTGTTCTAACCACAGTTCTTTGTTGGATATCTGATTTGCAAATATTTATCCCAGGTGTATAGCTTGTCTTTTCATTCTTTTAACTCTGTCTTTTGCAGAGCAAATTTTTTATTGTGGTAGAATATATCTAACTAAAAGTGATCATTTTAACCATTTTGAAGTGTTCAGTTGTATGGCATTAAGTATATTCACATTGTTGTACAATCATTACCACCATCCATCTACACAACTTTTTCATCTCCCCAACCTGAAACCCTGTACCAATTAAACAGTAACTCCCCATTCCCCCCCCTTCCTCTTCATCCCTGACATCCACCATTTTACTTTCCATCTCTATGAATTTGACTCTAGGTGCCTCATGTAAGTGGGATCATATAGTATTTGTTCTTTTGTGTTTGGCTTATTTCACTTAGCAGAATATCCTCAAGGTTATCCATGTTGTAGCATGTGTTAGAATTTCCTTCCTTTTTGAAAAAATATATTTCTTTACTTTTAGAGAGGGTGAAGGCAGGGAGAAAGAGGGAGAAAAACATCGATGTGAGGGAGAAACATCCATCTGTTGCTTCTCGTACGTGCTACTGAACCCGCAATCCAGGCGTGTGCCCTGACCAGGAATCAGACTGGCAACCTTTAGCTTTGCAGGATGACACCCAACCAACTGGGCCACATCGCTCAGGGCAAATCCTTTTGAAGTCTGAATAATATTCCATTGTATAGATACATCCCGTTTTTAAAATCCATTCATCTGTCAATAGACCTTTGTATTGCTTTTACCTTTCAACTACTGTGAATAATACTGCTATGAACCTGGATGTACAAGTATCTGTTTGAGCCCCTGCTTTCAATTCTTTTTGGTATATACTCAGAAGTAGTATCATATGGTAATTCTGTGTTTAATCTTTTGAGTAAACACTGTACTGGTTTCCATAGAGGCTGTACCATTTTACATACCCACCAGCAATGCACAAGAACTCCAACTTCTCCATACCATTGCCAACACTTATTTTCTTCTATTATTTTTTTTACAATAGCCATCCTAATGGTTGTGAAGTGGTATTTCCTTTTAGTTTTGATTTGCATTTCCCTAGTGACTAATGTTGTTGAACATCTTTTCATGTGGTTTTTGGCCATTTGTATATCTTTGGAGAAATGTCTATGTAAGTCCTTTGCTATTTTTTAAATGGGTTGTTTGTTTAGTTGTTGAGTTGTAGGAGTTCTTTATATATTCTGGATATTGATCCCTTATCAGATATATGTTTTGCCAGTATTTTCTCACATTCTTTAGGTTGTCTTCTCACTCTATTGATAGTGTCCTTTGATGCACAGAAGATTTATTTTTGATGAAGTCCAGTTTCTCAATTTTTTCTTTTGTTACCAGTGTTTTTGCTGTCATGTCCAATAAATCACTACCAAATCTAATGTCATAAGGCTTTTCTCCTATATTATCTTCTGAGAGTTTTATAGTTTTAGCTCTTACATTTAAGTCTTTAGTCCATTTTGAGTTACTTATTGTATATGGTATAAAGCTCCAACTTCATTTTTTAAATGTTAGTATTTAGTTTTTCCAGTACTACTTGTTGAAAAGACTGTCCTTCCCCATTGAATGGACTTAACATCCTCCCTGAGAATAATTTGACCATTAATATGAGAGGTCCTCCATTCTGTTCCATTGGTATACTTGTATATGTCTGTTTTTATGCTAGTGCCACACTGTTTTAATTATTGTAGATTTGTAGTAAGTTTCAAAATCAGTGAGCGTAAGACCTTCACCTTTGTTCTTTTTCAAGATTGTTTTCTCTATTTGTGGTCCTTGAAATAACATAATAAGTGTTGGATGGCTTTTCCTATTTCTGTAAAAGTTGTCATTGGGATTTTGATAGAGATTTTACTGAACTTGGAGATCACTTAGGGTAATATTAACATCTAAATAATATTAAGTCTTCAATCCATGAACATGGGATGTCTTTCCATTTATTTGTTCCTTTTTCTTTCAGCAACATTTTGTAGTTTTCAGTGTACAAGTTTTTTGCCTCAGAGCAAATGTTTTAAACTTTGATACAATCCAGTTTCTTATTTTTTTCTTTCATGGATCATGATTTGTTTTTTTTTCATATCTAAGAACCCTTTGTCTAATACCAGATTATGAAAAAGATTTTTTCCTTTGTCTCCTTCTATCAGTTTTATAGTTGTATATTTTACATTTAGATCTGTGATCCGTTTTGACCTGATGTCTATATAAAGTGTGAGGTTTAGGTTGAGGTTCATTTCTTTTCCTATGAATATCTAATTATTCCAACATTAATTGTTCAAAAGAGCATTCTTTCTCCATTTACTTGCTTTTGCATTATTGCCTGAAATCAATTAGTCATATAGTTATGTTAATAGTGAGCATCGTAATTAATGGTGAAAGGTTTAAAAATTTCCTCCAATATCAGGAATAAGACAAGGATGTCCACTCTTACCACTTTCATTCACATTAGAATAAAATTAAAAGTCAATGATAGAAGGACATTAAGAAATTTACGTATATGTGGAAATTAAATAACACTCTACTGAATAACCAGTGTATCAAAAAAAATCACAAGGGAAATTAGAAAATACTTTGAGATGAATAAAAACAAAACTTAACCCTGGCTGGTGTGGCTGAGCGGATTGAGCACCAGCCTGTGAAGCAAAGGGCCACTGATTTGATTCCCAGTGTAGGGCACATGCCTGGGTTGTGGCCCAGGTCTGCAGTAGGGGGCACGTGAAATGCAACCACACACTGATGTTTCTCTCCCTCTCTTTCTCCCCCCACCCCGCTTCTCCTCTCTAAAAATAAATAAAGTCTTAAAAAATGTTAAAAAAAAACTCAAAACAGGACATCTTAACTTATGAAATGTAGAAAAAGCATTATTTAAGGGGATATTTAAAGGTGTAAGTGCTCATATTAGTAAAGAAAGATCTCAAATTCATAACCAAAACTTCTACCTTAAGAAACTATCAAAATTTGTTCAAACCTATAGAATGTTCAACACCAAGAGTAAACTGTAATGTAAATTATAGACTGGGTAATTAAAATGTGTCAATGCAGGTGCATTATTTGTAACAAATGTACCACTCTGATAGGAAATATTGACGGTGGAGGAGGCTATGAATATGTGGGGACAGGGTACTGTGTGGGAAATTTCTATACCTTTCTTTCAATTTTGCTGTGAACCTATAACTGATCTAAGAAAATAAAATCTTAATGAAATAAAAATGAAACTATAAAAAGAAGAGCAAACTAAGCCCACATAAAGCTTATGGGAGGAAATAATTAGAGTCAATATAAATGAAATAGAGAATTGAAAATATAGAGAAAATCAACAAACCCAAAGTTGGTTCTTTAGAAAGAGCAACAAAATTCAGAATCCTTTAGCTAGACTTACAAAGGTAAAAAGAAGGAAGACTCAAAATTCTCATACCTTGCTCTACTTTGCTGCTTTTTTTCATTTCATTTCATATCTTTTTTCTATCCTTTTACTTTCAACCTTTTTAAAGCAACTAAACTGTAGACAGCAAATAGTTAGATCATGTTTTCTTATTAACCCATTCTCCAATTCAGTAAAGTGTTTAGTTCATTTATATTTAAGGTATTTAATTGAAGTCAGTTAATAAAGTAGTCTTTATAAAATCTGCCATTTTGATATTTTTGTGTGTATATGTCTTATATCTTTTTTGTTCCTCTCTTACTCCATTTATTCCTTAATGTTAAATGGGTTTTTCCAGTATATCATTTT